AAATTCGTGGCGAGCTCTTCTGGTGTATGGCATTGAATGGGGATTTCGAAACAGGTTTAGAGGGACTCCTCGGTGCTCTCGACAGTCTGAATGAGGAACAACCCGAAAACAAGGCATTCAAGGCGGTGCTCCTGTACCGCGTGGGCTACTGCAAATGGGAACTTGATCAATCTCGAGCGGGTCGGAAGGACCGGAACGGAGCTTACTCTTACTTCCTCGCATCCATCACAGCCGATATGAACTACGCTCCGGCATATACCAGCCTCGGTTTCTACTTTGCGGATTACAAGAAAGACAAAACCAGAGCTCGACGATGCTTCCACAAAGCGTTTGAGCTTTCAACTTCTGAGATTGAAGCTGCTGAGCGTCTCGCTAGGAGCTTCGCAGACCAACGCGAATGGGACCTCGTGGAGGTCGTCGCGCAACGAGTCGTTGATTCTGGCAAAGCTAAGCCATCACCTGGCTCGAAGCGTAAGGGCTATAGCTGGCCATATGCAGCCCTCGGTACTGTTCAGATCAACAAACAACAATATGCACGAAGCATTGTGTCATTCCAGGCATCACTGCGACTTTCTCTCCGGGGATTATCATTCCTGGGTTGGGCTTGCGGAGAGTTATCACCATTCTGGTCGCTATGTCGCAGCCACCAAAGCCTTTGAGCATGCGCGAGAGTTAGAGACTAATCTTTCCGAAGAAGAGAAGGAACACGTTTGGTTCGCACGCTATATGCTGGCAAATGTGAAAAGAGAGCTTGGTGACTTCAATGATGCTGTTTCAAGTTACGAGGATGTCCTCACTTCTCGACCGGGTGACATTGGCGTTACGATTGCCTTACTTCAGACCCTAGCGGAGAGTTCTTGGAAAAGTGTGGATTCGGGCTTGTTCCATGACGCAGCGGAGCTAGCGTGCAGGGTTATCCAGGTCGCAGGCGCGATTGTGTCTGTTCGATCTGACATCTTTAACATGTGGAAGGCTGTTGGCGATGCTTGTGCCAACTTCTCATACATCGGTAAAGAGGTTGGCAAACTCTCCGCGATCGACTGCAAAGCCCTGTTGTCTGCCGGGCTCGACGATGAAGCCTTTAACATCATGTTTGAGGTGGACGGAGTTGGAAAAGATTGGCTTGACTCCGGTCTGAACGACACTGTTTCATCTGATGCCTGCATCAACTTGTCCATCCTGGCTTACAAGCGGGCGATACACACCTCGATCAAGGACACGCATGCTCAGGCAGTCGCATGGTACAATCTAGGCTGGGCCGAATACAGAGCATTCCGAAACACACATGTCACGCCCGGTACAAAGAAGCCTCGCAAGTTCCTTAAGGCAGCAATGCGATGCTTCAAAAGGGCCATCGAGCTGGAATCCGGAAACTCCGAGTTCTGGAACTCGCTCGGCGTTGTAACAACAACCATGAGCCCCAAGGTTGCTCAACATGCTTTCATCCGCAGCCTTCACCTCAATGACAGAAGTGTTCAGGCCTGGACTAACCTGGGCGCACTTTACCTCCTCCACAATTCTGTTCAGCTCGCCAATGAAGCCTTTACCCGTGCCCAGTCTACGGATCCCGACTACTCACAGGCCTGGGTTGGACAGGGCTTGCTTGCCCTCCTCTACGGCGACAAAAAGGAAGCGCGTGGCCTCTTTGAGCACGCATTTGACATCTCAAATTCTTCTGCTGTACTTCCCAAGCGACAGTACAGTCTGACTCTATTTGATCACCTTCTCGTCGATGAATCAGCTTCTAACGAAGTATCTCAACTCATCCAACCGTTCTTCGCTCTCCACCAGCTCTGCGCACAAGACCCCTCGGACCTACCTTTCATCCACCTCTCTGCCCTTCTGGCAGAGAGAATGGGAGAAACTGCCGACGCCGAGGGCAGTCTTCAGACCGTCTGCTCTGGCATGGAGACCGAGTTCGAAGCCTCAGAATCTCCAGCTGCACTCTCTAGATTCGCACAAGCCAACGCAGATCTAGCTCGTGTTCTTCTTGCTCGTGGTGAATACGAACAGGCCGCAGAGAAAGCCGAGACCGCTCTCACGCTCTCCGGGGAGGATGATGCTAGCAACTTTGACCCAGAGGGATGCAGCAAGATGCGATTATCCGCACACCTGACCGCCGGACTTGCTTTCTATTTCCTGCAATCAATGGATCAGGCTATCGATATGTTCCGCGATGCTCTACAAGAAGCCGATAGTGCCCCAGACGTAGTATGTCTCTTGGCTCAAGTTCTCTGGGCCAAGGGTGGCGAAGAGGAGCGCTCGGTGGCCCGTCAGCAGTTATTTGACTGCGTCGAGAACCACCCAGAGCATGTCGGAGCCGTCAGTCTATTGGGAGCCATCGCAATCTTAGATGGAGACAGTGATACAGTTGAGGCGATTGAGTCAGATCTTCACAACATGATCACTCGGAATGATATCGAAATCCATGACCGAGCTCGACTGATCAAACTTCTCGCTGCGATCTCAATCATGGGCTCCACCGGGAATAACGCAGCTTCAGAGGAACTGCGACACCTCGGTGAAGCCACCGCGGCCATCATGTTGTCCCCAGGCCAGCCTTCGGGATGGATGGAGCTCTCAGCATCTTCGGATCACCCCTACCCTGCAGCTATGTCTGTTGAGCGAGCTCTCCATTGTGTTCCGCCGCACGGAAATCTTGATGCTTCCGACCTCAGCCAGGCTCATGCCCGGACAGGAAATGCCCCGGATGCTTTCCGATCCATCATGATCGCTCCATGGCGACGAGAGGGTTGGGAGGAGCTCAGCTATGCTGTTTCTAGCCAAGCGGCATAGTTATTTGAAGTTTATTCATATTAAATATGCAGTTTTGTAGCAGGCACTGAATGATTATCATGGTGATGAAGACAATGTATATCTTCCATTATTTCAACTTTCTCTACTATGTATTACTAGTATGCTCCCAACCCTGGAAGGTTTGTAGGAACGCTGGATTTGAGACTTGACGTCATACCTATATCAGCAACCGGTGACTTGGTAAGTACTTTATGTTACTACATTTTGGACCGTGACACTTGAGACTCTTTTCTCTTCTTTCTTTCGCTTCATTAACCACCGACAGATTCAAGTTGTCTACTCTGATCTTGCTCAGTCATATTAATGCGACATTGGACAGTGTCAGTGTCCAATTTGAGAATCATCATGGCAACACGAACATCTTCACGTCATGCCGCTCAGAAGGCCAAAGATGCAATTACAGCCTCTACCGAAACGCCCGGAAAGTCTCGTCCTCTAGCATCAAAGCGCAAGGCACCGCAAGAAAAATCTACAGAGCCTAGGAAGGAGACGAAAACCGATAAGAAGCCGGAATTGAAATCCGAAGCGAAAGTCGACCAGAAGCCAGAGCCAATAATTGGAGCAAAGGTGGATGGATTACCAGATACGCAGCAGAAAGAAAAGAAAGAGGAGAAGAAGAAGGAGCCGCAATCTCACCCTCCACCTTCTGCTCACCCGAAGCCTGAAGAAGATATTGAGCTCGGCGTACACAAAACCGAGGGAAGAGAAAGTGCCGTGTCATCCAACATCCTTGAAAAGGGCATCATCTACTTCTTCTTCCGCCCGCGCGTCAATGTAGAAGACCCTCATAGTGTCAATGATGTCGCTCGAAGTTTCTTCGTGCTTCGCCCTACTCCATTGGGCGCTGAGCTCGACGAAGGCCAAGGGCCACTTGATAAAGACGCTCGATGTCGCCTGCTCATGCTCCCAAAGAAGAAGTTCCCCACATCGCCTAAAGAGCGAGACATGGGATTCGTGGAGAAAGCAGGACAGACAATGAAAGATCTACAGGAGAACTTCATCGCCTCTTCGACATACCAAACTGCAACCCGCGGTGAGCGGACCGTGGAAGAGGCTCGGCCGTACGCCGAGGGGGTGTATGCACTCACCTCGACAAAGCGAACAACCCATCTAGCCTACTTGTTGACCATCCCTTCCGAGCCGGGAGAGATCCAGGAGTCTTTTGGTCTCCACCGACGGGGTAGTTGGATCGTGCAGTCTAAGAACCCTAAGTTCCCCGGTCCCCCATTCGCCCAGTTACCCAAAGAGCCGGAGTATCCAGTCTCGTAAGTTTCCACCACATCTGATCTAAGGTTTCATATATACCGAAGGATGATAGTCGAAAATGCTAATTTGACATCAGCGTACGAGACAAGTTCGGCGACCTCCGATGGTTGCCGCTGGAGCCGGAGTTTATCGAGTATCCCAATGCGCAGTTTTTGATGATTGGCGAGGCGCAGGATACTCTGGGCAAAGCCGCGACTGCCGAAGAAGGGGCTAAACAGCCCCACGAGGAGGAACCAGGACAGGAGTTGGAGCAGCTCGAACGGGAAAATGAACTGCGGGTGGAAGCGCTGCAGGGTAAGCATCTTATATGTCTATTAACTCTTGCAAAGGGTTTAATTCTAACATAATTCTGGCATACAGGCAATGAGACCGTCTATCGAGATCTTGGTTTAGATGCGCAGAAGTATACTTCGCTGCCAACCACTTGGAAGCCTTAATTATTACTACTAGTAAAACATGGCGGCGTTGGGCACAACACAATACAATATTAATTCCCGTCTTTTAACTTTCGAAAAATCATGGAACGTAGCTTGGCAAGATCTAAGTTTCTCAAAAGTCCTCAGGATCGGCCATCCATCGATCCATCCCAATCAAATGCGAGGCTACCGCAACCCCGCGCAAAAGAGGCGGAGGCTATACATTCCCGGAGCGGTAGGGATTGACAGGAACAGCCCACTTGAAACGCCGCGATGGCGATTGACACCCGTAAGATTGATAGCCGAAGTACTTGGCGAAAGATGACGATCAGCGAATGGTGATCATCTCCCATTGCACGTTGATCTCATGCGACTTGGCCCTCGCCGAGCATTTGAGCATACGCGTATGTGCATAGATGGCGACACCACATAGATCGCCAAACATAAGAAAGCCACGGCGACCCTTCCAGATCCTATACCGATTCAAAATCATCAGTCGCAATGAAGCTGACTCTGGCGGTTCCATTTCTCGCAGCCGGTGCAACGGCCGCTGTCGTCAATCAGACCACCTGTGGTGATACCACTTACCAGTATACCGGACTGGCTGGTTATGGCTTCATTCCTTCAAACGCCACCGATAAATATGGCGACACAATTGGAGGCATCGGAAGCTCCATCGCCATCGACCAGTCATCCTGGCGCAAACTAGGTAAAGAAGGATACGCAGGGACTCTCTATGCCGTCCCGGATCGAGGCTGGTAAGCAGTGACTGAAGGACATCAAGCAACCTAAAAGAAACAATTAATACTCACAGGAAAATGAAACAGGAACACCAACGGCACATTGAATTTCCAAAACCGCATCCAGAAATTCAGCATCTCCCTCAAACTAGCCCCCAACGCCTCCGCATCCAACCCATCAACCCCCAACATCCGCCTCAAGTACGAGGATACAATCCTCCTCACAGGCCCAGATGGCGAACCAACCACAGGCTTAGATGCCGATGTCACTGGCCACGCCTCATACCCAGGCTTCCCCCCTCTACCCGTCGCAACATACAAGGGTAATGGCTACGGCGGCCCTGGCAAGGGTGGCCGGCGCCTCTCCGTCGACTCAGAGGGCCTGGTCCTCGATCCGAACGGCGGATTCTGGATCTCGGACGAGTATGGACCGTACGTGTACAAGTTCAGCGCATCTGGACGCATGGAGCACGCGATCCAACCACCAGACGCATTCCTGCCTCGCCGCAACGGCTCTATCAGCTTCAATTCCAACACCCCGCCACTCTATAACCCCAATGAGATCCCCGTGCCGGAAGATACCCAGTCCGGCCGTGCTAATAACCAGGGATTCGAGGGTTTGACTATTTCCGCCGACGGAAAGACCCTCTACACGCTTATCCAAAGCGCGCTGGATCAGGAGGGTGGTCCGGGTAAATCATCTCGCGCATCTGCCCGCTTGATCGCGTATGATATCTCGACCTCCAAGAAGCCTGAGTATATTCATGAATGGGTCGTTATCTTACCCAACTATGACGATCCGGCGAAATCCAAGTCTGTTGTTGCGGCGCAGTCGGAGATCCATCAATTGCCCAGCGGCGATTTCCTAGTCCTGGCGCGCGATTCGGGACACGGGCGTGGCCAGGACGATTCGCAGTCTTTGTATAGACACGCAGATGTTTTCTCTGTTAAGGGTGATGCGACGGATGTGAAGGGGAAGAAGAACTATGACTCTGCGAAGGGGGCAATTGCTTCTTCTAAGGGGATTATTGACTCTGATATCACTCCTGCACAGTATTGTTCCTTCCTGGACTATAATGTTGAGAGTGAACTTGCTAAGTTTGGGCTGCATAATGGGGGCTCGCAGAATCGGTTCTTGCTCAATGAGAAATGGGAGAGCTTGGCGGTTGTTCCTGCTAACCCCAATGCAGAGGGAGGAGATGAGTATATTCTCATTAGTGTTAGTGATAATGATTTTATAACTCAAGATGGTAAGTGCATACTGCTAGTACATCGTCTGATATGGCTCGCAAAGATGAATGAGGATTTTTGCTAACCTTCTCGCTCCAGGACATATGAACTTTGGAAAGTTCCGTTATAGCGATGATTCTGGCTTCAATTTGGATACCCAGGTTCTCGCCTTTCACTTGAAGATTTAAGTTGGAGATAGAGATGGGGACTTATTCGATAAGTAAACCAGGTGGACCTTTTGTATTTTCCTTGACCGCCTAGTACATAGCTAAACAAGATTTGAATCATAACATCAATTAGTTTTCATGAACGCTTGCAAACAAATAGCAGGAGCGAGTCAAGGTTTCTCGAGCCTGCTTTCAAAGAGTGACCTTGGGACACACCTCCAGGCCCCTGTCCCTTAAATTAAACAGAACATAAAGATAGTACATATTGCTTAGCGCATCACGGGTGAATATTGTGAGTAATGACAGATCCGAAGAAGTAGAAGGAAGACCGGAATAGGATTTCGAAACAGAATTTACATATTCCAGCCGGCTGCACAATAGATCTGGCATTCCTTCATGGCTTCACCAATTTTATGGCGTGCAAGATATCATCGAGCGACCATCCCGGCCCGCCGGGGACGATCTCAGCCCAAACTTCCTCCGGGACAGTATCGGCAGGATCCAAGAGACTCCAGTTCGGACTGGGCTCAGGTTTAATCCATTTGAAGTCCTCAATTTCATTCCAGCGGTCCTGGTGATCGGGACGGTCATGATTCAGGGCCTGGATAAGAGTATTAGAGTGGGTGGTTAGAGGGAAATTGTGGGGCACTAGGCTCACATAGGCTTTTGGAATGCGGCCAAAACGAATATTCGAGCAATCTTCGATTATTGGATTGCTCGAGCAACTGAGGTAGACGTCAACATCGGTGCAATTGTGCATGCGGAACTGGCGGCATGAAACCACAATCACACTGTGTTCTACCCCGGTGATATGCGCCGGACCATTCGCTTGGCCACAGATCAGCAGACTCTCCTTGATGTTTTTGATTGTCAGACTGGCATAAGGCTTCCCGTTCGCGGTGGGAATAGACATGTCAACAACACAATGTCGTAGAGATGTGATTGACGCAGGAACGGTAGATGTTGAGCCCGAAGATGGGAGCATGATGTGAAGTTTGTAATGGTTGTCGACAGATACAGAGGATATACCACTGGCTGCAAATGACGGGGCGGAGGCTGCGAGCTGAGACTTCGCCAGGATCTCCGTGGGCGATATACCTGGGAAGGAAGTTGGTGCAACCTCTGGTTGTTCCTGATGCTGCTTGTCTGGTTCATTCAGAGGTGTTGACGGGTAATTCGGAGTCTGGTTGGCAGAGGAGCCGATGGACGAGGCACCCGGAGAACTATAGCCTGGGACGCTGCGACGGCCCTCAGCAGCTAGAGTAGCAGCATCTGAGAGCGAGATAGCAGAAGGATTCTTCTTAGTCCTAAAGCTGAACTTCGAGCGGGGTTCAAATGCTGCGCGTGTCTCATTCAACTTGTCCTGCAAAGCTTTGATGGCCTTGGAGAGGTTAGCTGAGCTTCCTTAACTACCATGGATATCCTTGACTCCACGAACCTCCGCATAGACTCTTTGATCGTAAGTAGGTATATAGCTCGCTGCATCCTTGACTTCGTTGGACAGCCGTACGATTCCGGCGAGGCAGTGATCTGTTGCGTCGGCACGCTCACCAGCGACAAGTGATGTATCGGCGAGTCGGTCCATCTGATCCTGGAGGGCTAAGTGGGTAATATCAGTATTTTGCGTACACATTCATTGCGATACATTGAGAATGTTTTCCTCGAAATTTATCATGGGCTCATACCGGTAATTTCATGTTGGAAGTAGCGGAAGAAGCGTTCCTTCAAGGGAATATCGGATTTCGAGACAATCTGGTTATCAGCCGATAATCGGCGGATATGCTGCAATTCTGGCTCCGCCATCGTCGATGAAGAAGGGGGAAAGATTGTTAAAAGGCGGGGATGGTAAGCTGGTGGCTTGCAAAAAGTCGGAAGCTGGCAAGTTGTTCACGCGGGGATGGGATAGGAATGACGTCGGTCCGACCAAGGGATCATGCCACCCCGCAATGCTGTATATGCTGGGGGAATTGCAGGGGCAACGAGATAATTAAAAGATGGGATGATAAAACAGGGATCGATAGGCAAGAGTGAGACGCAATAGAACGCCGATATAAGAAGTGCTTCAGCCAAGAGCTGTCAATGCACACAATCTCCACACACACACGCGCGCGGGGTCGAGTTCAAACGAATCAAAACACCTAGGCACCCCGATCAGAGCTTCCGCAATTCCAACAGCACGCCCGGGATGAACAAAGTCCAGCAGCTTGGGAGGTTTCAATAATACAATAGTGCGCAGAAGTGGGGAACTTAAGCGGCAACAGTATTGAACAATTCAACAAGCTGCCTTTGCGGTGACGTCGATCATCCCGCATTGGCCTTGGGTGATCACCTGATCAGCTGATCTCAGGCTCTCGTCAGGCCACAAGGCAGAAATCTCACTCTCCTGCATTGTGGTGTGGTCTGGACTCTGGACTGTGAAGGATCTGACTTGGAATCATATTCTGTTTCTTTTTTTTTAGGTGTTCGAGATAAATCGCTCAAGTTACCTACTATGACACGGCGATGACCTAGGTTACATATCAGATTCAAGTTGCTAACAGATTCAGGGTATACTGGGCCCTCGCTGATAAAGTCCAATTGATTCTTAGATTAATATATACTACTCTGTACTAATTATCAACAAACTGCTAGCTTGCGCCGGGATAAATGGTTCGGTTTCAAGTTTCAAGCAGATATGTGGGTAAACCCGGGCCCATCCACACTGACCATACCATGGTACAAGTATAGCTCGATCGCTCCCTCGATTCCATTTTCAACGCCACCCTAGTCTCTACTATTTCCGGCCATGCATATGACCAATTGATTTATCTTTTCCGCATGCTTTGAGGATGGATGGCAAAATGCCAAGACTAACTCTTGTACTCTGTTGGGAATCCTACTATTTGCCAATACGATGATACCTCGGCATCCATTTCCGCTTATCCCGATGGGAGTTCCCAGCCACAAACCTTCAAGGTTACAAGGTTGACAGGAGCTTCACTCACCCATCATTAAAGCCCTTGTCCGCAAATGATACTTTACATAATGTGCCCCAAGAACTTTCATACCTCTATAACGTAATTCTCAAGCGCGCCTCCTCAGTTCGTGTTCCGGCGCGTATTTACCTATCGTCTTCAAATACCCACCATGCCAGTTGTACGCAACCGAAATGCTCAAAAGTCGCTAGGTCTTGACTGTAGAACCAATTTGGCTAGTAACGCTATCAACGCTTTTGAGGGCTCGTCATGAATACGGCATGGCAAACAATGCGAGTTGCCAGAACACAGATCTTAGGGCCAACGGATCTTAGGGCCTTATCAAACCCAATTTCATCCCATTTTTTAAAAAAAAAGATTGCTTCACTTAACTAGGACCGGCTTTTTGTATGTTTCATTAAAGATAGATCAAGCCATGATAACTCGGAAACAAAGCACACACGAACCCTCAAGCAGATACTAGCTTATTTCCATAAAAGAATGGTTCGCACGCCGTCGCTCCTTCGTACGATATTACCAACTTCGACCGCACATTTGTTTTCAGGCGAAACAAACAACGTTTTGACCAGACTATCTTGTTAGTGACTTATAACCAATTATAGGACCTAATAACTTCAAGGATGGTCTTACCGCAGCGTTGTTTGGGCAGCAAATGGGGGTTGCTGGTTTTCCGCCGACGCCACAGCTACCACTGGTGCCTGCTTGTCGTTAAATTATAAAATCCCACGAAGTTATCAACTCGATTGACTTACGTCTAACGCAGCGGCCCTCTCCAATTCCTCGGATGAAGAGGAAATTGAATGGAATAAAGCCATCGCAGCAATAGTATGCAGCGTTGGGCGCACATGATCCTGCTTGTCTCGCCTCCAAATCATCTGCAGGAGCTGCAGTAGCTGCAAGAGCCACCATAGATAGAGCTAAAATACTCTTAAATTGCATGATGATGAAGTGTTTTCAGACGGAGTGTTTTTCCAAGTTCAAATTTCAAAATGTTGTTGATCTGAAGTGAAACTTTTCTGGCGGGTGGAAGAGGTCGAGTGGTCCTTTAAATAGATATACATGACACTGTAGTGTACATCGAAAACGTCATTATGTCCCCGCATACTCGCGACTTAAAACTCCAAATTGCCACAAGGACTTGTCTAGATCGACTAGCACCAGAGGCGCATGCTTTCATACGACGGCGACCCGAAGGGGCACTTGTCTTCGTTTAACTCTATAGATGAACCTGTCAAAAGATGAGGATCTAGGCCAGTCTTAAAAGGTGAGTTCAGTATTTGGTTTCATGAATGCAACATAAGCCTTTTAATTGTTGTCTGTATAAATTTTACTATTAGCAAAGCTACTAGATAGTCGGTGTAGAAAGAACAAGACTTGAGACAGCGAGGCAATTTTTTTTTAAAAAAAATTGCAATACTAGAGCTAAGACAAGTATAAATGCTAGTTGTACTAAAAGTTTTCAGTTAGCACGTAGTATGAAATTACCGCCGGGTTTTATTTCTCATCGCATAATATGGTGCTGGCTGGAAGCCTAGAGTGTCCGGAACGACACGGAGTACCTTGGTTTTGGAATTTGCTCCTGACTATCAATTCAACCATGGTTAGATTTGGACTGAACTGAAGATCGGTATTAATTAATCAAGATCTTTTTAAAATGCTCATATAGCTAGTAGACTTGCCTTCGCCAATGATGCACCATGAGTGCTCCACCAATAATTCCATAACGCGAACACATCTCTGAATCACCTTGCGTCAACTAACTAACAGTCGTTTAGGCCACCATTAAACTCTGGTATTAGTAAATGCATAACCACAATTAAGATATCAAGCACTACAAAATATGGAGATTACACGTACTTGGGGTATGGCGGTTAGTGTTTCGAGCTCTAGGAAGATGAGCCTATCGGGTGCTGGTTGAATCGCCAGGCGGGGTCGACAATTGTTAACCCATGGTACGTTCTAAAAGGGAGGCTTCCTCGGAAATCGTTAAATGATCCAATACCATGGTCATCTCGATAGGCTCTCCATTGGGATGGTTCGTCCCGGCGATTTCATGGATTTTCAAATGAGCTCCAGCGAAATATTATCCATATGCGGAACACCCGAACTTGATGAACATGCACAGAGAACTGAACTTTGGATTAGACATTGAAGAGCCTGACTATAGATCCAAGGATATGGAAAGTGATATGAAGGCCTGGAAGCGTTCAGGCGCTGTGTGACAGCCATAACTTGATTCTAAGCAATAATGGGGTTGGTAGCAAATGAGGTCAAAGAACCGTTCTCCGTAAGCCAATAACCATGGCGCTGTAGTTTATTTCTTAGTATCATGATTAAACTCAAAGGAAAGTCGGACTGATTTCAACTACAGGACGTTTATTCCAATGCCTATGGTTTGGGGTGATATTCAGACGACCAAGAGACAAATTTCCTACTTTTGCTCTAAATATCAAGCTTTAATATTGACCAACCTTTGGCAAAACCTGGGGTGTTCTGTGACGGAGACTTACTGGGCGACATAGAAGGCTGGCGACATTCTCTATTTTTAGCCAAACCTGGGGTGTTCCTGGGATAGCAGCTGATAGAAGACCTTTGGGCCCCACGGGGGAATGAGCAGTTGTCTACGAATGAAGCGTAGCCCACGATTAGAGGGTCAGTCCCAACACTTTTAAACATGATTAAGTTAAGCTGAAACCGAGAACGTTCTATTCCTAGCCGCCTTGCGTGGCGAGGGCCTTGAATGCGCTAGGAATGGATTGGGTCTAGCGAATTGCGTAGAGCACTTTCATTCAGATTAAACCACCCATGCCAAAACCGCCAGTGATAAACTTATATAACTTGAAATCATTGTTTCATAGCCTCAGAACTAAATGCGTAATAAAAGACTGATCACGTATAGCTAAGGTGTGTGAAAAAAGCTTATTGAACGTCCCAAATTTGCAATTGAGAACCGCCAACCCGGCCACTACCAATAGGGCCTATGCTCTACTTAGCGTCTTATATGCCCTGTCCTCTTAAAGTACGTTTGATTACGCCTTTTTGCATAGTCCCACTTGGGCATCTAAGATCGGTTTTCAAGCCGATAAAAATTCTAATGGGTGATGTATCCGACAGTTAAATTCTTTTACCGGGTGAACCTTTGGTGACGGATAATATTTGTCTTCTAAAGTTGTTTTATCCTGATAAAATTGAAACTCGCCCCAAAAACCATCGAAGGATTATGCGCTTGAACTATTTCCACCTGATATAATTGCCATCTCTGGGTATTCTTAGCAGCAAAATTTCTCCTCCTCATAATATTCAAGCTACCAAGATTAAACTTGGTAAAAGTTCTCAGCAATTGACTGAATGCCCAATAAATCTTTGGGGTGATTTATTTGCGGTCATAAACCTGATTCACTGTCGATTTCATAAGAAAAGTGCGCGGTATACTCTCTGGTTAGTGTAAAGCTGGGTCTAGATCGGTAGTTGAATAGTCAGGTGAAGTCAAACCAAGCTCTAATTTTGGCAGAGATTTTGTGGTAAAGCGATGAAGTGATGATGATTGTCGAACTAACAACAATCGATTCTGTCTAGTTCCAAAAAAAATAATTAGGAATGGCTGGAACGGATAGGGAGTGAATTCACCGCTTGAGAATGAAGCATGGATCATTTTTAGTGACGTCAACGGGCCTAGCCTAGATCTCCATTAACGGCAGTAAGACTAAAAATTTGTCTGGATTCTAATGTAAGCATTAGCGATTCATGGTTTGGTAATTGTTGGGCTAAATACATCTCTTTAGCCAATTGAATGTTTCTCAAGCTACATATAATTCTACTTATCCTGCCACTGAAAGTGGATTTACCAAATCGAGTCTGTAGGAATCTGATCGGACCAGATAACTAGCAGTTTTGATGTGGAGACAGCTCTGTTTCCGGGGTATGGGGGAGTCTTATACAAGCTCTGGCCACATGATACCAGGTCCTTGAATCTAGTTGGGAATGGCAGGTGACAGTGTTCATTAAACATGATATTTTAGCCGCAGCTTCCTGATTTGTTCACCCGGATTATGCATTGCAAAGGCTGCCCCATACCGTCCTCTACAAGTAAACGGTTAACCCCACCTGCGAAAATCATCTCAATGGAGCCCTCGGTAAAAGTCGGATTGATTGGGTTAGATACGACAAGTTCGACTGAATTGGTCCTGTGGCAAATGCTTCTGCATCCACTATAACTCGGTGGGACCTCCGTCGCCAGCTAACTCGTGTGGATTAGTTGAACTTGGCAAATTAGCCCGCGCTAGAGATATTAGCTCGTCGCGGTTCAACTGGCTAATTTAGATTTTGCAAATGGTTGAAACGATAAGTTTGCCTATAAAAAATATCTGACATTTCTGGGGCTAAATTAATTTGGTCGGCTACGTAGTGGCGCAGGATTTTAACATTGCAAAAAGACTACAGTGCGATGATTTAATCATTGTGACTCTGGAGCTTTTCTTAACTTGAATATGTTATCTGAGAGCTAAAATGTTTTCCAATAGTGTCGGTAATTCATAACATTGTATACAGTGACACTAGGAATCATCTTGGGCGAGTTTTATACTAACCTAGCGAAAAAAAAATGGCAATGCCAGAGGGCAGGCCCGACCAATGCGAGTCTGCAAGCCATGCACGGTCACTGGTATTACTACGGGATGCACTAAAAGATAAAAGGGTGCATGTAAATGTTGTTAGAAGAGAAAGCCCTGGGGTGGCGTTTAAATTGCTTTCTCCGTAACGGTTTTGGTCGGCCTTCAAGTTAAATATAATACTATTGCTCATATTGTTTGTTTCACATAGTACTAGTAGTACTAGTAACATAATCATCCTGTTGGTTTGTAAAGCCCTAGTCTTAGCTATCCTTCCTACGGCGAGTTAGACACGGATGCCTAGTTTTTTTTAATCGCCTATTGTGGAAAAAAAAGGTAACAAAGGGCCCGGGATGAGCGCCCCTGAAAGTTTTACCTCGGGCTTGAATGAAGGAAATAAAACCCACCTTCAGATTTTGAGAAAGTGCCCTGTGGAATGCTATAGGGCGGTGTTGCTGAAATTAGACAGAAAAATTCAACTCTCAGAGGGATTGAACATGTACTTTCACGACTAAGTCTACACGCCCTCGATAGAGTTTTTTTCTTTCTTTGACAGTAGTCCGCGGTCAGATAGCAATCACCGGGGAAATCGCCAGAGAGTACTTGGCCATGCTTGTATCATACTAAGCACATAGTACCCACCATTATAGATACTTATCGTGCTAGACAAAAGCGACCGTGATCGACGCCCAGATGGCTTGAAGAGGGCTTCAATAAGTACTGGCTTAGCCAGTAATTTGGCTTGTTTCGTTTCTTGGCTGACATACCCGGCGCTCAAGACAAAGAACACCAAGATCCTGTGCTGTCAAGGCAACTTGGAGTTATCGACTAAATGGAAGTTTGCCAGAAAAACTTTCTACATTCAGACCAAAATGCTCATATGGTGGCTTGATTGGCTGGATGTAGTTGCATCCATCCCGCATTTGTGCGCCCACGGGCAACTGTTCCTGGCTGATAACTTATTGAGGCATTTGTTTGGTAATAAAGGCCCGCGATCGGGGACCTGTATATACTATGATTTACTTGAGAATATACGAGGTGGCTTCACCAACACATATGTTTATCCAAAAGCATGGTTGGGTCCCACGGGTTTCAAACCTTCGTATAGAGACCAAAGCCCATACCAGATGACAAGTGTTCAGTCCCGTCCTCCAAGTTGGTAGGTATATGTCAAAGAATTCCACCCAGCGTAATAATCTGTAACTCGATGTTGTCTTCCACTGAAGACCTCCAGGGCTGTCACACCAATTTCATTAATCGCACAGAATATGAGAGTAACATCTTATTCCGTGTGACATTTTGACGAATTGCCAACCCTATCGAGAAGGAAATTGGCTTTGTACAATTTCATCTTCTCGATTATACAGTATCTACTAGAGGATATGCATCATTTTGGCTTTCCAGAAAGGGATGCAATGAAGGACATCAGGTTCTTTACCCTCAAACTTTTGATCGTGGCGATATGCCTTGTTCATCAGGCCCTGGCTATCGGAGAAATCCATCAGGTCGTGGAGTCACTGGATGGAGTACCTGAAGGATGGAAAAGAGGGGAGAGACCCTCGCCATATACACCTATCAACTTCCGTCTTGCCTTAAACCAGTCAACTGTGGAATTTCAGCAAGCGGTTATCGACATCTCAACCCCAGCACATCCAAAATATGGACAGCACATGACACAAAAGGAAATGAGGGAGCTGCTGCGCCCTGAACCTGACACCATGAACAATGTAGTTACGTGGTTGATTTCGGAGGATGTGGCTCCTAAGGTGATTATTGTCGAGGGCAGCTGGATTAGGTTTCAGATTCCGCTTGCGCAGGCAGAGCGTATGCTGAAAGCTCAGTACTTTTATTACCACGATGTCGCGAATCAAAACACCCTCATCCGAACGCTCAGCTACTCGGTACCCGAGACTGTCTATTCTAGTATTGCACTAATCCAACCAACGACGCGATTCGGACATCTCAACCCACACAGCGCCCCTGGACCCAACGAACCAATTATTGCCAGCCCGGAGGACTTGACAGCTGAATGTGGCTTCGTGGTAAGACCCGAGTGTCTTCGGGATTTGTATGATGTCAAGAACACTTCGGCAAAGCCAGATTCCCGGAACCGGCTAGGCATATCGGGGTTTCTTGAACAGTTCGCCCGTCATACTGACTTCTACGATTTCATGAATGGGCTCTCGCCGAAGGAGTCCGGCGCGAACTTCAGTGTCGTCCGCATCAATGGTGGCTTGAACGACGAAGATTCGCCTTCAGGTAGCACCGAGGCGAGCCTAGATATACAATATGCGATATCGCTGGCATACAATACCTTAGCGACTTTCTATACCATCGGAGGTCGGGGACCATTGGTGCCAGACGCAGAACAACCAAATGCCAGCCAGTCTTCGAATGAGCCTTACCTCGAGCAACTTCATTATCTTATAAATCTGCCCGATGAACAGTTACCAGCAGTGCTTACCACTTCTTACGGCGAGGCAGAGCAGACTGTTGCAACTGCATATGCCACGGCAATCTGTGATTTGTATTCGCAGCTCGGGGCACGTGGTGTGTCAGTCATATTCAGCAGTGGAGATTCCGGTGTCGGAGGTTCTTGTCAAAGGAATGATGGATCGTATCAAACAAGATTTCTCCCAGGATTTCCGGCCTCGTGTCCCTTTGTTAACTCCGTCGGTGGGACATTCAGTCGTGGACCAGAGAGAGAGGGCAAGTTTCTCAGGCGGGGGCTTCTCGGAGGTATTCACCCGTCCTGCATATCAAGATGAAGTAGTGCAGGGTTATTTTGGTCAATTGAGTGACCAATGGAATGGACTATACAACCCTCAAGGAAGAGGCATCCCCGATGTCTCGGCTCAGGCAAGTGGGTACTTGATTCGAGACCATGGGATGTATATGAGGATTAGTGGAACAAGGTTAGTGTCTCGCCCTACTATACACCCATGATATGAGCTAATTCGATTATCCAAAAGTGCATTGGGGCCCGTATTCGCGGGTATTGTGTCTCAACTAAATGCAGTTCGTTTGGCACATGGCAAGCCTCGTATGGGGTTTCTTAACCCTTGGCTCTATACTGCCGGGGTGTCTGGGTTCACAGACATCGTAGATGGAGGCTCTCGGGGCTGTTATGGCGGTACACATGGAGTTTCTGTTCCCTTCGCAAGCTGGAATGCCACCACTGGATGGGATCCTGTAACGGGACTTGGAACACCCTTGTTCTCAAAGCTGGCTGAGCTGGCTCTTTCTGAAAATGGAACCAAATAGGAATAGGAATAGTGTGTCAAATTTGAAGTGCAGCTTAAAGCAGATATATGGTTCGACAAATAGCTTAGGTTGGATGAATACTATGTATTTCTTCTGTGGAATAGGTATTTGTGGAATGGTTTAAGCAAAATCCAAAATGGAAGCGCCAACTGGCGAGGCAGTCCGCCAAGTCACGTGAATCCGAACTGACCGCCCACGGCAGCTCCGTCATGCCTGGCCAACCAACACTCATCCCATCCTCAATCCAGCAGCTTCTATTGACCTCGTTGTTCTTGCAATCGTTCGACTTCTCTGGATCCTCGGGATCTCTCATTTTATCTTTCGTTGAATCCAGTTCAATCCACATATCCCGCCACCATGTCGGACCTCAAGTCCATCGTCCCAGAGCTCCACAACGCCCTGGAGCGCAAACAGCTAGACGCCGCCAACGACCTGCTCAGCCGAGCAAAGCGCGCCCTCCTCACCCAGAACGCCCTGTTTCCTACTCCTTCCACACCTCCTCAGCTTGTCGCTCTTGCCCGACAGGTGCTCGAGCTCGGAGCCATCGCCTCAATCCGCCAGACCGACGCCCAGACCTTCACAAGATATTACCAGCAACTGCAGCCCTTCTATGATCTCGAGCGACACGCCGGCTTACCAGGTCAGGGCTCCTCAGATGTCGATTTCAGCACTAGCCAACGCAGCAAGATTACTGGCCTCTACCTGTTGCTGCTTTTGAGCATGGGTGATAGCGCCAACTTCCATACCGTGCTGGAGGGACTGGTCGAAGAGGCGAGCTTGAAGGATGCCCGAGTTGAGGACGACGCATATATCAAATATCCCGTTGAGCTGGAGCGAAACCTTATGGAAGGAAGCTACGATAAGGTGTGGCGTGAGACCAAGTCGGAGCGTGTGCCGTCCGAAGACTTTGGCCTGTTCTCGAATGTAAGTGGCTACAAGTATCCTATGTGCCTTCTCTGCCGGTCTTGACTCAAATTACTGACGTTCCCATCGCCAGGTTCTTATCGGTACCATCCGCAGCGAAATCGCCGACTGTTCTGAGAAGGCGTATCCCTCCCTTCCCATCTCCAATGCCAAGAACCTGCTCTTCCTGGAGTCCGAGGGTGCGGTCATCGAGTTTGCCCAACAGCGTGGTTGGATTCTTCACGATGGACGGATACACTTCCCTGTGGAGCCCGAGGCGGCCACAAGATCCGAGAAGGACATCCTGGTGGCCAGCGGCACGGTTATTGAAAACACACTAGGATATGCTCGGGAGCTGGAGACGATCGTTTAATTCACTGCGATCATGTTACCAATTGATATGACTGGTTTATTATTTTGTTTTGGTATTGGTCTTCGGGTGCAGATGTACTTGTATACCTGTCGGTGTTGCATTGTGTTTGATCTAGCGTGCTCATGACAACATTCATGCCTAGAGTCTGGTATTGATTATCCTCCTGAGATTCGTAGCTATTAGGTATGCGCTCGTGGCCCCCAGTATGTTCGATATTATACTGTGGCCTTCCATACACAGACACGACGATCGTAGAAACTGCTTGAGACGCACAGCAGTTCCGACGGGCCTTGCGACTCACTCGACGCCTCCGGAAGTGACCCCTTCCACACATCGCTAGCATAATTCATACTCTCATGCTCCGTAAACTCTGCCAGAACCCGGATACTCCACTCAGAGTTTTGATCCTCTTGTTTCAGGGTCACCCGAACAACCCTTGTCCCGCCATGCATGCAACTTGCTAAAACCAGGAAGTGCTGCTCTTGGATACCATTCAGCCCAGCAACATTTGTTGAGTTAAGAAGCTGCAGCCGCCAAACACCGCCACCCAGTCCTTCTTCCACGAGAACCTCACCTCGTCGCGTCGCATGATACACTCGCAAACTCTCATCATAACTCCCAGTCAGAAGAATGGGAGCATCATCGACTAGCGGAACTGGCAGTGTCAAAATGGCAGTGACACCGGCAGTGTGATGGCGGGCCCGATCATCGTGCTCGAGAAGTAGTGGAGCAAGCGGTTCCTCCTCGTCGACTTCTTTCTCTGCGTGACTGACGAATCTGCGTGTATGCAGGGAGCCAAAATCATTACCGGTGTACATGAAAGGTACATTATTTTCTTTTCCTTCGTTTTCTCCAGAAGACGGGGTCATTGCGGCGAGCGCAACGAACCAAACCTCAATCATCTGCTTTGCTTCGAACGAGCCCCATTCGTCAAGACCAGCTTCTTCAGTGATATCTTCGACAGTTCCAAAGACTGACGTCCGGCTATCTGAGAAGGTCACGGCAAATCCATCGGCAGAAGGATTGGAAAACCAGTTCTGCGGAGTCCAGGCGAGAAAAAGAGCTGGGATCGAAGGATCATCGTGGACTTGCTTTGTCCATATTTGTTCGATATTTGGTTGACTTGACGCATCATTTGCGAAGCCAGAGTTCACATTAAACAGTGCGACACATCCTGTGCTACTTGCAATGGCGAATTGGCTGCGGTTCCTTGGGTGGAAGTGAAGATCAAAGACGGCGTATGGAAGTGGTACTCTTTGCACCAGGGATCTGAGGAGAGGATCAGTTGCTGTACGAATCAACCTTGAGGATCACTTCACTTACAGGTCATTTGTGGCGGGATCTAATTTCCAGAGCTGCACGCTTCCTTTTTTGGTTTGTTGGATTTCGCTTTCGCTCTTGGTTTCGGACAGAAGATAGGTGCCCACAACGAAGTGGTTTGGAATGTCCGGACAGAATTCTAGACAACTGGGCGGTTGATCCAGAAACACTGTCGTCGCGGATTTGGGTTGCTGCACAGTATTTGGCATTGTAACTGCGTTGGATCTAGAAGATAAAGCAACGCTGCGGCTCCGATGTTGGTGGGGGGGGGGGGCTGATATTTCACGGTGGGGCAGTCATCTGAAGTCAAATGTTGGTACTGCATGATATCCAGTGCATCGTGTAGTATAAAACACTACATCTTGGACCAAGGATCGCAATACAAGCTTTGATGAAGCGATATACATGAATATCGAATTCAAAACACCGATTACAGATCCCAAGATAATAGTATGAATTACTTTTGTAACACTATTCGAGGATCGTTTCATAGCAAGTTATGCGGTGCGACCTTCAATGCCTCGATGATTCCCTGTCTATCTCACGACTTCCAGAAAGTCGACTCTGCAACAAATCTGAGTTGCCCATCCTTAACTTGACGACATGACAATATCAATCTAGGATCTGCAGAGAGAAGCTTGAGCGACATCATGTGTTCAATTCTTCCCCGCACCAGCCGTGTTGCTTGGTCAGCCGAAAATGACGAGGCTATCTCCTGCCCTGCTGCAAATAGCATACGCATGACACTATTCGTATTTTAAGGTGGACTGCATACGAGATTTGCTATACTACTTCAAGTTCAACCGAAATGTCGCTATTGTTCAACACCTTGCCAGTTACGGCCCGGGTGTCTCCCACGCCCTTCCAGGTCGCTATTCACAAAAGTCAGCTCACTGAACTTGAAACCCTGATCAAGCTATCGAAGTTGGCTCCTCCTACATTCGAGAACTCCCAACTGGAATCTCCATATGGTGTCACCACTCACTGGCTGGTAGCCATGCGGGATCAGTGGCTGCGGTCTTACAAATGGTACTCTCTAAGCCCAGCGATAGTCCTGTTCAATCTGAAATCTAGCTAATGTTTACATTGACAGGAAAACTTCTGAAGATCGAATTAACAGTTTCCCTCAGTGGAAGACTGATATTGAAGATCTGACCATCCACTTTGTCGGGCTCTTCTCGCGGAAGAAGGATGCCATTCCAATCTTGTTGATCCACGGGTGGCCCGGTAGGAGCAGCCCTGCTGATTTAAAATGCCTCTAAATTCGAGGTTCCGTGACTGATAGTTTAAATAGGAAGCTTTTTGGAGTTTCTTCCCATTCTGGATATTTTTCGACAGGAGTATACACCAGACACTCTCCCCTATCATCTGATCGTGCCTTCGCTGCCCGGCTTCACATTCTCTTCTGGCCCTCCGCTGGATAAGAACTTTGATACATCAGACATTGCTCGCGTGTTTGATCACTTGATGAAAGATCTGGGCTTTGAGAGTGGATATGTTGCGCAAGGTGGTGATATTGGAAGTCGTATCGCCAGAACCTTGGCCGTGGACTATGAAAGCTGTAAAGGTAAGCAATCCTGAAACTGATACATGGACGATACTAGTATCACATTGGGCTGACTGCTAACATTGAATGAAAAAAGCTGTTCATCGTGAGTAATATTTACGTGGGGTGCTCTCTAAATTCCATCTTATGATATTGACTTGAAGCAGTCAACGTGACCTTCATGGCTCGACCAGAAGGCATGACGGACGACAGCTTGAATGCGTTCGAGATGCAAGGAATCGAGAGGTTCCAGAATTTCCGAACTACGGGCTGTGGATACTCAATCGAGCATGCAACTCGACCAAGTACCATCGGTCATGTTCTCGCCAGTAATCCGATATCCTTGTTAGCATGGTGAGCAGGACTGCGAGACAAAATGCGAAGGCTTTCCTACCATCTGGCTAACTCTGTTAGGGTTGGTGAAAAGTTTCTGGAATGGGTGGACGACCCTTTGACCCCGGAACACATTCTTGAATCCATCACGTTATACTGGCTGACTGACACGATTGCTCGTTCAATCTATACGTATCGTCAGGTGCGTCGTTGCGGAATCTACAATATGGACCAGGTAGCTGACGCATAATCTAGAGCTACCCTCCTCCCCCTGTCGCAGCTGCGAATGAATCCCGTTGGTATATCAATGTACCATTTGGTTATTCTGCGTTCCCCAAGGAGCTCGCACCACTGCCTCGCTCATGGGTGGAAACCACCGGTAATCTGGTTTACTGGGGCCAACACCAGAAGGTATGTTGCCACCCGAATCAGAGGAGAGACTGAGCTAATTGACGACATTAGGGTGGTCATTTCGCTGCGCTTGAACAACCAGAAGCCCTCAAGTCCGACCTGGTGGAATTCGTGGAGCAGGTCTGGCCGAGTATTAACAGCAGCAAGTGAAGCTGAGAAGATGCCTACTTCTCTCAGCCTGTGTGATATTAGAATCTAAATTTGACACAGTGAGCGAGATTGAATAAATTGTAACTGATTGTATACGACGGGACAAGTCTTTGAAACGAATTTAATCCGAATGAATACCTAGAATAAATTGAAGCCTCGGAATTACAGAAGATTGCCAATGAGGTGCAATTAGAACGGAGACCTTATTTTGCTGTCAGAGTACCACCATATATATGTTTAAATTCCTAACTTCATCCGTTTCAATACCCGCCAGATGCTGTCGTTGAATTTTTCTTTTGAATTTTGCAAATTTCCAAGTCTTTGAAATGAATTTGCCTTGAAACGGACCATTTGTTAACTTTCACTGCACCCTCGCTGCTTACTAGTAGCCCTGGAGTTAGTTGCCTACAGAACTCCACATGCGGCTCTGGGCCAACCTACATTCTACAACAAACCACAATAACACATCTCAGCTTCCAAGCCCAGACAAAATGAGTTCAAATGGAGATCCTATGGATCTCAGATCTAGATCAGATCCTCTCGGACGACTCCAGCTTCTACGGCAAGTGATTCCTTCACATGAAAGCCCAACCTAGCTTACACCAACACCCCGCTGACATCACTCCAGGTGATGAAAATGAAAAGAATCGACTATCTCAGCACGCAGCAAGTTTCGACCCAGAACCATACTGGTCAGGAATCCATCCAAATCTCCTCTCAACAATCCAAAATGGACTCCGCGCACCACTCATATCTTCCAATCCAGAAGAAGAACTACAATCCGAAAGCGCCGATCAACCAGAGACAACAGCCATACCAAAAACGCAACGTGGACGCAAAGAACATATATCTCACTTTCTCTCACGTCTTCCACCCTCAAAAACATTATTTTCAGATATCGGCCCCTGGATCTGGACGTTCGGCCCAACATCCAAAGCTCAACTGGACCAGGACGTCCCCGCCTTCCTCCGAAAAGGCACAGACCTACTCCGCGCCTTTGAGACGCAAAGTGCTGAGCTCCGGGCTGAACATGATAAGTCCGGCGCGAAGACTACAGCCAGACTAACGCGGAAACTAAATCCGCTTCGTCACAGTCTCGAGCAGGATATTCTACACGCGGCGCGGGAGACGGGTGTTGTTTATGGGAAGTGGATGCTCTTTCCCGGTGCGCGGGATGTTGATAATGTGTGGAAGAAGGTTGTTGTCGCGTTAGACAAAGGAGAGCTTGGTGACGGAGCCAAAGTTGCTACGAATGACTTATCCGATAAGGCGCGGTTGATATGTGTTTATACGAAGGATTTCGGCGACAAGGAGGATGTTAAGCGTGTTTTGAAGAGTATGGTTGCGGTGGGACTGGTGGATGTGCAGGATCGGCCGATTTACTACAAATGTGATGCTTTCACGCATCTGGATATCACGTCTAAGAACGAGTATGGACTGAAGGCGAGCATGTTTTCCAGTCGGGATGTGCTAAGTGGGAAGGTTTGACGGATTATGTACTTGCTAATATGGAATTATAATGCGACATGATGTTATGATTATTATCGTATGCAGTGTGTGTTGATTGGGTATCTATTATATGTACAACCTTGGAAGTGACGTGGTGGATCAGGAAAGCCCAAGATGGATACTCGACCACGGCATATCGGGGCCAAATTCGTCGCATTGATGCTCTCTCGATATCGGGGGCTCGGCCTTGGTCGGAGCTCTTGTGGGCGTCACTTGGGCGGGAAATCTCATTCCGAGCTCACAAGGCTAGCGGAAGCCTGCGTGGTGTCGGGGTGAGGCCGAATGTTAATTCTGAGACGTGGAGAATATGAGTCACCCTATATGACTACAGCGCTGTTGGGCTTCAATCATCGTTGCTGTCCTTATTCATGACCTTCTCACAAGCCTCGCGAATTTCAGCAACACCTTTGACTTCACCCCAAGCATCGAGTAGCTTCTTGACCTCATCCCAGTCCTTTAAGGCGTCCTCTTTCTTGTCCTCGGAGAGGTATTTTTCCAGTCTCTGAGGAGAGGCAAGAACCCACTGGACGGTTTCCTTCTCGTTCTTATTATGAGTCGGGGTGGGCCGTTGGCTTCGTTCCTCATTAATGCGGCGGCGATGTTCCTCGCCCTCTTTTATAAGACCGCCAGCAGTCTCGGCAACGAATGAAATGGCTGGACCCAGAGTTTTGGTCATAGTCAAGGGTGCTCCGCGCTCGTCCATACTTTGACGCATTTTGCCAATTGTTTCCACAGCCCGTATGAGTTTGGAGTAATTATCGTATACAAGCGCTTTACGCTCCCCATCTAGGGTGCGAACATCTCCAACCAGTGTATTCTCCGCTTTGAGAATTGTTGAGAGGGACGAAGTTGATAGGAGTTGGTCGACATAACGCTGAGGGTCGAAGTCCGCATTGTCTAGCTCCGTGCCCGTCTCCAGGGTCGAGGGGTTGGAGATATCCCCTGCATCGGTGTTGCGGGGTACACTGTGGGATCGGGATCCGCCAGGACTATCGGATCCAGGGGGTTTAAGCTTATAGTAGTCTCGTAAGGCTGAGCGATTCCGTCGTCCGGCGATAGGGTTGGGAGAGATGGCTCGCGCGGTCGACGGGTGGAGGCGGCGCTGAGGCCGCCGGCGATGTTGGTGTTTAGCGCATCAAGAGAGGGGCGAGAAGAAGCCGGACCGGGTGAATGGCCACGAGAGGAAGCGATTGAGGGGCGGGGTGAGGACAATGTTGACATGGTGGGTGGTGAGGAAGTGAACTTGAAAGTGAAGGTGGAATGCGGCGACTGGCTTCTTCCCCGGCGGCGGCGGGCCCGTGCTTGCTGCTTGCTCTGCTTTCTACTTCAACATTTCAACAGCTGCTGGAGCAGACCAACCCAATCACCACAATGGCCAGCCCAGAGCAAATAGCTGCTCAAATCCTAAACACGAAGTCACTAGCTGTCTCGCAGAACTGGCTAAACACCTTCCTGACAACCTCCAACTCTGCGCAGCGGAATCTCCCCGCCTCCGCGCTCACCAAGACAGCTCTCTTCCGCGTCCTCGCTTCCGATTTCCGAGAATCTCTCTCTAGGAGCCCATCCTCCATTCTCTCCCGTTGATATTTTCGACCCAACCGTGCAAGAGAGACGCATACAAGGCCCAATTCCAGTCCAGGTCCTTGACATCGAAGACATCGGAACAAGTCTATGGAGCCAAGTCGAGGCGATTGAGCGTGTTGAGCGGGGAGAAGCAATTCGCGGCAGGGAGGTTGTACGGACTATCCCAATGGGAGATGACAACGAAGGCGCAGATAATGGGAATGGTCGTACGAATAATCCAGCTACCCCAAACGCGTCGGGGAGCAGTGGCTATGGACCGCACCGGTTGATTCTACAAGACGCGGCCGGCACTAAGACGGTGGCTATCGAAATGAAATCCATAGAGGGTATATCACTGGAAAAACTTTCCATCGGTGCAAAGATGGTTCTTCAAAATGCGACGGTTGCCCGAGGTATGGTCTTGCTAAACCCAGGATGTGTCACCTTGCTCGGTGGGAAGATCGATGCACTGGATCGACCATGGAAGGAAGATAGAAAGAAACGCTTATTGGAACGAATCTCCACTCTCCAAGGTACATGATGTGTGGAAAAGTGCTATGCGATAGGCGCTGTACGGCTGTGTCTTGCAAACAACAATGCCCATTGGGCCACATTGGATTGGTATTTTTGAAGCAAAATTATATATATACCCCGGGGGCATTATCTCCCAAGCCAAAAATGAAACATTGAATCGATGCCTATTAATTTCTTGAGCATTCTCCCAACATCAAAGAATCACGATATTCCAAGTACAGCGCTCCAGGCTGGTGGATAGTACTAGTATATCCATGGATTAATACTCTAGCGTCAGGATGTCCCAGGCCTGCGGTCTCTACTACTACTGCTACTACTAGTATCATTTCGCTTTAGTAGTATCTAGACTCTCTCTTGTTGGATCACTTTCAGCTTCTCTTTTTCCCTATCTTTGATTCTTCTAAGAAATCGTGATATACTCGTAGCAATATGTAGATCATCGCCATCTACTCATCACCCCTGTCCCCTCACCGCCCTGGAGCCAGGGCCTCTGATTGGACCAGGTCACCCGCTCACACAACAGTAAACTAAACGTGGACTCAACTTGCTCCTCCGCAACACTTCCAAGCAAAGGCATCCACGACTTACCACTTCCTCTCCTTCGACCCTCGGGTGGATGCCGTGGTTGTCTCTGTTGTGATCTTCCCCTTTTAATCGCGTGCGGAGCTTGCTACTGTGCAGTGCGGCTCCGGCCAACTTGACAACATGCAGTCCTCTCCAAACATGCTCACTAAGGTAACGCCCCTCGATCTCTCGCCCATCCTCCACATCGCGCTCTCCTTGGCCCTGTTGCATGGAATTGATCAATTGGAGTTACTAACCTTTCATTCTTCTACAGTTTGAGTCGAAATCCTCTCGAGCCAAGGGAATCGCATTCCACCCAAACCGGTCAGTTCATCCCGCGGGGACACGCTACACCTTAGAGAGCTTTGGGAATATCGATATCTAACTCTCAACCAGGCCATGGATTCTCGTCTCCCTTCACTCCTCCACCATCCAACTGTGGGATTACCGCATGGGAACCCTCATTGACCGATTCGAGGAACACGACGGCCCCGTTCGAGGCATCGACTTCCACCCAACCCAACCCCTGTTTGTGTCCGGCGGTGATGATTACAAGATCAAGGTCTGGAACTACCAGACCCGGAGGTGTCTGTTCACATTGAATGGTCATTTGGATTATGTGCGCACAGTTTTCTTCCACCCGGAGCTGCCATGGATTCTGTCCGCCTCCGACGACCAGGTATGTTTTGAGCCTCGCCCCCGCTAGTGTCTATGGTTTGAGTATTAACCCGCCTGTCCAATGTATAGACTATTAGAATCTGGAACTGGCAGAACCGTTCCCTGAGTAAGAACTGCCTCCTCAAATACTAATGCCTCCTTTCCAACCATGGCTAACACCCCGGCTTCTGCTTAGTCTGCACCATGACCGGCCACAACCACTACGTTATGTGTGCTCAATTCCACCCTACCGAAGACCTCATCGCCTCCGCCTCCCTCGACCAGTCCGTTCGTATTGGGATATCTCCGGTCTGCGCAAGAAGCACTCCGCCCCGACCTCGGTTTCCTTTGAAGACCAAATGGCTCGCGCCAACCCCAACCAGGCTGATATGTTCGGAAACACCGACGCCATTGTGAAGTTTGTGCTGGAGGGACATGACCGTGGTGTGAACTGGGTTTCATTCCACCCCACATTGCCGCTGATCGTGTCGGCTGGTGACGATCGATTGATCAAGCTGTGGCGCATGAGTGGTGGGTTTACTACCCCAGAAGATCGGTCCAAGGGCGTTTCGCGTTAGCTAACTCATTGATATAGATACCAAGGCATGGGAAGTCGACACTTGCCGCGGCCACTTCCAGAACGCCTCCGCTTGTCTGTTCCATCCTCACCAAGACCTCATCCTCTCCGTCGGCGAAGACAAGACCATCCGCGTATGGGATCTCAACAAGCGCACTTCCGTCCAATCCTTCAAGCGTGACCTCGATCGATTCTGGGTTATTGCCGCTCACCCTAAGATGAACCTGTTTGCCGCGGGCCATGATACCGGTGTGATGGTGTTTAAGCTGGAGCGCGAGCGTCCTGCCTCTGCTGTCTACCAAAACCAGCTCTTCTACATCACAAAGGAGAAGCACGTAAAGTCCTATGACTTTGGCAAGAACGTCGAGTCTCCTCCGATGCTGTCCCTACGCAAACTTGGCTCTCCCTGGGTTCCCCCGCGCACTATCTCCTACAACCCCGCCGAGCGTGCCATTCTCGTCACTTCGCCCTCTGACGGTGGCACTTACGAGTTAATCAACCTTCCTCGGGATGCCACCGGAGCTGTCGAGCCCACTGATGTCAAGCGCGGCCAAGCTACATCTGCTGTTTTCGTCGCTCGTAACCGTTTCGCTGTCTTCAACCCCGCGAGCCAGCAAGTCGACATCAAGGACCTGAGCAACTCCACCACCAAAACCATTAAGCCCCCGGCTGGCACCACAGACATCTACTTCGGTGGCACTGGTTGTCTCTTGTTCATAACCCCCACTACTGTTGCTCTTTTTGATATCCAGCAAAAGAAGCAGCTGGCGGAGGTTACTGTCAGCGGTGTTAAATATGTTGTTTGGTCCAATGACGGTCTCTACTGTGCCCTTCTCAGCAAGCACAATGTCACGATTGTGACCAAGACTCTGGAACAGGTCAGCACCCTGCACGAAACCATCCGTATCAAGAGTGCCACCTGGGATGATTCAGGTGTCCTCATCTACTCCACTCTAAACCACGTCAAATACTCCCTTCTGAACGGGTAGGTCATATATCCTATGTTATGAATTTTTTGAGAATACCTACTAACTCTTAGCCAGCGACAATGGAATCATTCGTACCCTTGATCAGACCGTTTACCTTGTCCGTGTCAAGGGACGCAGCGTCTACTGTCTTGACCGCAACGCCCAGCCTCGGACCCTCGAAATTGACCCTACCGAGTACCGCTTCAAGCTGTCTCTCGTCAAGCGGAACTACGATGAGATGCTCCAGATCATCAAGACTTCAAGCTTGGTCGGTCAAAGTATCATTTCGTATCTGCAGAAGAAGGGATATCCGGAGATTGCCCTGCAATTTGTTCAGGACCCGCAGACCCGTTTCGACCTTGCCCTTGAGTGCGGTAATCTTGAGGTTGCTGTTGAAATGGCTCGTGAACTGGATCGTCCCAACTACTGGAGCCGACTCAGTGCCGAGGCTCTCGCCCACGGTAACCACCAGACTGTCGAGATGACTTACCAGAAGCAACGCAATTTCGATAAGCTGTCCTTCCTCTACCTGACAACCGGTGACCAAGAGAAGCTTTCTCGTATGGCTAAGATCGCTGAGCACCGTGGTGACTTCACCTCGCGCTTCCAAAACGCCATCTACCGTGGGGATGTCGAGGATCGGATTCAAATGTTCAAGGAGGTTGACCAGTACCCTCTGGCCTACCTGGCCGCCAAGGCTAACGGCTTGACCGAGGAAGCCGAGTCCATCCTCGAGGCATGTGGTCTCACTGAGGATCAGATCACCCTACCTTCGCTCGAGGGTTCCCTTCAAGTCCCTCGCCCCATCGTACCTACTTTCAAGTCCAACTGGCCTGTCAAGGCCGCGGGCCACTCTTCATTTGAGAAGGCCCTTCTCGGTGAAGTTGGCGCTGCTGATGAAGAAGCCGGTGCCGATGCCTTCGAGGTCGAGGAAGACGATGAGGAGGCTGTTCTCGCCAAGGATACCCTAGATGATGAGGAGGAAGACGCCTCTGGGTGGGACATGGGTGATGACATTAATGTGGAGGAGGAGGTCGACTTCGTCAATGTTGAGAGCACCGAGGCTGGTGCGGGCAGTTCCGAGGCTGATATCTGGGCTCGCAACTCCCCGCTGGCCGCCGACCACGTCGCTGCTGGGTCTTTCGAGACCGCCATGCAACTCCTGAACCGACAGGTTGGCGCTGTGCAATTTGCTCCCCTGAAGGATCGTTTCCTTGAAATCTTCAAGGCTTCCAAGACTTATCTTCCTGCGAGTGTCGGTCTGCCACCTCTGGTCAACTACGTGCGGAGAACCACCGAGGAGGAAGATATCCGCAAGGTTCTTCCCTTCATTCCCCGGGATCTGGAAACCATTGCAAGCGTCGACCTCCAGGAGGGCTATGCCGCGATGCGCTCCAACAAGTTGGAGGACGGTGTGAAGACCTTCAAGCGCATCCTCCACAACGTGCTTGTCAACACTGTCTCCTCCGAGGCCGAGGTCGAAGAGGCGAAGAAGATCATCTCTACCGCTCGCGAATACGTTCTGGCCATGTCCATCGAGCTTGAGCGCCGAAAGCTCTCCACGGATACCCCTGAGGGTCTCAAGCGCAGCTTGGAGCTGTCGGCATACTTCACCATCCCCAAGCTGGAGGTTGCTCACCGACAGCTGGCGCTTATGGCCGCGATGAAGCTTGCCTTTGCCAACAAGAACTACAACTCTGCTCTGGGCTTCGCCAGCCGGATGCTGGCCAACGGAGGATCGGCCAAGCTTCTGGAGCAGGTAAGATTAACCATTGATAATGACTACAACGATATAAAGATGATAACTAACACTTTCCATTTAGGCCCGCAAGATCAAGGCTCAATGCGAGCGCAATCCCTCGGACCAGATCGAAGTCGACTTCGACCCCTTCGCCGAGTTCGATATCTGTGCCGCATCTCACACTCCTATTTTCAGCGGCTCTCCTTTCGTGACGGACCCCTTCACTGGCGCGAAGTACCACGAGCAGTACAAGGGTAGTGTGGACCGGATAGCCGATGTCACAGAGATTGGCGCCCCGGCCAGTGGTCTGCGTTTGTTTGTGCCCAGTCAATATTGACCAGCAGTATGACGAAATTTGACGGCTCTTTTTCTCTCTCATTTTTTCTCGACATGAAGTTTTATAACCAAAAAAAGAAAGAACTTAGGGCATATGTTTATCTCTTCTTTTTTTGGGCCGCTTGGCTTTGCTGCGCGAGGAGAAGCTGTGTTGTTTTGTTGGCGTCATTTAACTTTTCTGGGAGGGGGAATTCCACAAAATTTCTCCTATCACTGAACCCTGTCTAGATGTCTTTTCTGTACCCGAGATTATAATTGTTTAGCGGTCTTAACTTGTATGCGAAATCTGTTCACTCTTATCCTTGGCACGCTCTAGAATAGAACTACTAGAACTAGAACTTTCTTGATAGCCCCGTTATTCCATAGGTTGGGGGGAGGGGGGATGCATAGTCTACAGCTAGAAGTACAGAAATCCTCTATCAACACCCAGAATGCTGGAGAGAAGAACAAAAGTAAAGTACAAGAAGTGGAGATATCCGGGTGAGCGGGGAGGAAGGTAGAGGTAGGAGTAGAGAGAGGCTAGATAGTGTCAAGATCTCAGCACCAACCATATCAAACCGCAGTACTACCCAAAGATAGCAAAGCAGAGCAGAATGATATAATAAAAGAAGAGAGAAGAAAGACTCAATCACACCTCCCATCCTTCCACCCAGACCTCCACCTCTCCTCCCAAAACCGACAATCAAACTCCGGCTTCCCCAACTTCCGATTAACCTCATTATGCGCCTCACACATCCACCACCCAAACTCCTTCCGCCCACCAAGCTTCGGCCGGTTATTCCCACTCGGGTGTGCCATCCAGCCCTGGAAATCATCCGCACATACCCAGCACGGGTATAGTCGTGAGAAAAGCTTCAGAAACCCGCCCATATCCTCTTGCTGCTTTGTGTCTGCTTTCTCCGGGTATGTTGCTGCCATTGAGTGGAGGAGGGTCCAGGTTGAGCGGCCCAGGGCTTCGACGTCGGGCGGGCAGTCTGAGGGAATTGAGCTTGGGGAGGGGGTTGCGGGGGCTGCGAGGGGGTTTGTGGAGGTTGTAGTTGAGGATGATGATGTGTTTGCGGAGGGGTCAGCTTGGGCTTGTTTTGTTAGGGCGCGCCAGGAGGACATTGATGTGCAGGTTCGGCAGCTGTAATAGTTGAATTTTGCTATTAGCTAGTTGTTCAATGCGTAGTGGGCGTTATACTGGGTATTGGGTATTGGATATTGGGTTTGCGACGTACGGCTTGCCATCCTTGTCCAGAACTACGCCTTTTGGTAGTTGGGCATTTCCAGTCGCATTGTGATCTTGCGAGTCACTAGATCCACTTGCGGTTTGAGCGAAGAGGTTCGATTTGCCTCCGAACTGAGCGTTAATCTGCTCGGGTGGTGCCTGGGCCATTGTCGTTGATGTTGGGAGTTTTGTTCGGGGCGGCGTTGCGGCGAACTCGGAAGTTTCCTGGTCGGTCTTATAGTGTGACTAAGCACAGCGAGGAGGTAAATACGTATTTGTAAGCTGAGCCTTTGGTACGCAGACATCGAGTAGAATACTAGTTTCATTTATTTATCCTCGGTTATATCATAACATGCTTATTGTGGAGTGAAATCGAGGCAATTACAGTTGAAAGTATGCAATGTTAGAAAAAATTGCTGACGTAAGCAAATTTCATGCAAATCCGATGACGTTTCATTAGGGTCCTCTTAACACAGATGGGTAGCGTTGTATTTCTAATAATTGGATACGGTTGGTTGAAGATACCTACTAGGTAGTAGGTACTACTAGTAGTACCTGCCCAGGTGCTGTTGTCATAAAATCACTGGCCCAGGTGTAATGTATACTTCCAGTTCCTTAACCAGTAATTTCCAAGGTTAGTAGTAGTAGTACCTCTGGAAACTTCAAGTTGTTTGGCTGGAGTATTACTAGTACTACCTAGGTACTACTACTGTATTTACTCTATCCACCAAGCAAATTGATATTTATAATTAAAGAGTTACGCTATATTTGACTAGGTCTGATCTCAAGTTCCACGTCAACGGATACTTCCTGTGGAGTGAGTGGTCGATCCCCCGGTTAGCTTTGTCATCTGCCCTGCACGTCAACCTTCCTCCATCACGACGCGTGTTTGGAAACTGAACACTAGGAGTGGGAATTGATCTGTCTACCTGCCCACAAAGCCCTCTGTTCAAGAAACACGCGCTAAAGTACCTTTCGTCGCGCCCGATCCTCTTCTCATCCGCAGCACCGCGCGCTGTTGCCAATATCCACCGAGCGCAACACCCCAATCAATATACCAATATAAACATGGCACCTAAGTATGCCCTCTCGGACTCAGAGTCCGAGCCCGAAGCTGACACGCCCAATGTTCCATCCGACACAACCTTGGAACAAGCGCTGCGCGATGAGGTTACTTCCCGCTTCGAAACTGGGAGACGGGAGGAAATCACCGTGAAGCGAGTGCGATTGGCCGTTGAGGAGAAGCTGAAGCTCGAGGCGGGATTCTTTAGAGCCACAGGCGATTGGAAGGGAAAGAGTGAAGAGATTATCAGAAACCAAGTGGTAAGACTTCTACAATTATCTTCTGAGTTATATTGTTTTGACCGTGACCATGGACTAACTTGCGATTTTGGCGACACAGGACCAACAAGAGGCAGGCGAAGAGGAAGACGAAGAGGAAGACGAAGCACCCCAACCAGCGAAAGCCAAATCACCTCCTCAGCCCAAAAAGTCCGCACCTAAGCGACCCAAATCCGACACTGCACCGAAGCCGCGCAAGCGCCAAAAGACAGAGACTCCCGCTTCGGAGGAAGAAGAAGGGGATGAGGAACCTGAACCATCGGGGGATGATAGCGAGGAAGAGGCTCCCAAGCCTAAGAAGCGCATTACGACACCGGTGAAGAAAACCAAGGCCAAGCCGACAAAGCAGGCCTCGCCCGAAGCATCAGATGCACCCGATGACGAACCCAAGCCTACCGAAGCCAGCGCGGGAGTTACAAAGGATGATTCTGAAAGTGAAATGTCTGTCGTATTTGATGAAGAACCAAAGCCAGCACCAAAGCGCCAAAAGACGACCGGGGCACCAAAGGAGAAGAAAAAGGCGGCCCCCAAGGCTAAGGATGACGATGCGGACCCGGATCAAGCAGAGATCAAGCGGCTTCAGGGTTGGCTAGTCAAGTGCGGTATTCGTAAAATGTGGTGGCGTGAATTGCAGCCATATGAGACCCCCAAGGCGAAGATTAAGCATCTGAAAGGGATGTTGGAGGATGCCGGGATGAAGGGTCGATATTCCTTGGATAAGGCTCGGCAGATTCGGGATCAGCGCGAGCTCAAAGCAGATCTGGAGCAGATTCAACAAGGAGCGAAAGACTGGGGTAAAGCCAGTGGAGATGAAGGAGAGGGTGGTGATGCTGAAGTTCCTCAACGCCGGGCAGCTCGGGGTCGACAAGCCCTGGCATTTTTGGAGAGTGATGGCGAGGAAACCGATTGAGGACGAGGCTTGCTCAGAGTTGGATGATCCAGTCCAACTGAGCATGCCATCCTAGGTCATGTCATTGTATCAATATCCGATAATAACAACACTTGATGTATGATATCCTGCGATGCAGACATGTAGTTTGCCATTTATCGAGCAACCTTGGGTCCGCTCATGCGTTGAGCAGCCAGACTGAAGACGGCAACGGACGAAATAAAAAGGACGAGATTATAGAACTGCAATATACGTTAGAATACGTTGAAAGGACCGTTGATATACCCTATAAATCAAGGAGATGAGATCATACCGCGGTGCGGGAGTACTCGTTCTCCTCGACCTCCGTTCTCGCCTCGACAAAGAGACGTCGTAGATTGGGGAGATTAGCCTATAAATATGTTAGCTATGAAGTAACCGACCAAAGAATGATAACTTACCATTGAAACGAATACCAGAGATTCTCGCTGGCTGCGGACTGTTGACAGAAGGTCGTGGGGGGGGGGTGAAAGGAGGTCGCAAGAGCGGGAACTTCCTCCCCGTCATTTGTGGACAACTTTTGATCGCCCAAACACCCTTTCTCTCTTCCTTCTTCCCCCCCATCACCCTCCGGAATCTCCTCCGCTCCCAGTTCCTCTCTTTTCCTTTGCGTTCAATGTCCCTGCCAAGAGAGGAGGGTATACTTTGAAACCATCTCCTATCACCACCTCCGAGCCTCACCTCGCGCGACCGTGAGAGCTCTCGATCCCCGCAGTCGCCCGTTGTCTTCGACCCTTTCCACTCCCCTCCCCGATTGTCATTGGCGGAGGCACGACCTGGTCGTTGCTGAAGCTTATTTCTTCTCGCCATGGCGATGAACAAGATCCGCGGCGCCTTTGCGGTGCCCCGGAAAGGAGAGACCTTTGAATTGCGAGCTGGGCTCGTGTATGTATTCCCCCTCCGTGGACAGGTGGCCGTTGGGCCTCGATCTAGGAGGCAGAAAGACTAACAGTTTTATAGATCCCAATATGCCTACGAACGGTATGTCGGATATTCCAATGTCGCACAGGCATTGATGGCATATGAAACGGCGTGGCGTGGCTGACAGATCAATAGGAAGGAATCTATCCAGAAGACGATCATGGCCATGACCCTGGGCAAGGATGTCTCGGCTCTGTTTCCCGATGTGTTGAAGAATATTGCTACGGGTGATTTGGAACAGAAGAAACTGGTCTACCTCTACCTCATGTGGGTGTCCTACGACGCAGAGAGAACAACGAGAGAGAGAGAAAGGAGGCACATGTGCTGACCGTTGGAACCCTCCATCTAGGAATTACGCCAAATCGCATCCGGACCTTTGCATTCTCGCCGTCAACACCTTCGTACAAGACTCGGAAGACCCTAACCCACTGATTCGAGCCCTGGCCATTCGCACGATGGGTTGTATTCGGGTGGAAAAGATGGTGGACTATATGGAGGAACCGCTGCGCAAGACCCTTCGCGATGAATCGCCATATGTCCGCAAGACCGCCGCCATCTGTGTCGCAAAGCTGTTCGATCTCAACCCCAGCATGTGCCTTGAGAACGGCTTCTTGGAGATGCTCCAGGAGATGATCGGCGACCCGAACCCCATGGTGGTGGCCAATTCAGTCACTGCGCTCTCAGAGATCGCCCATACCGCCCCCGAGACCAAGGCTTTGCAAGTGACCCCCAACACACTGCGGAAGATGCTTATGGCATTGAACGAATGTACGGAATGGGGACGCGTGACCATTCTCTGCACACTCGCCGAATACCGAACCGCCGATGTCAAGGAATCGGAGCATATTTGTGAACGGGTTGCGCCTCAGTTCCAACACGCCAACCCCAGTGTGGTTCTTGCAGCAGTCAAGTGCGTGTTTTTGCATATGAAGTATGTTGGTCCGGAGCTGGCAAAGACCTACCTTAAGAAGATGGCTCCACCTCTGGTGACCCTGGTTTCCTCCGCCCCCGAGGTGCAATATGTTGCTCTGCGAAATATCGACCTTTTACTGCAGAAGCAACCTGATATCTTGAACAAGGAGTTGCGGGTTTTCTTCTGCAAGTATAACGACCCTCCCTATGTTAAGTTCCAGAAGCTCGAGATCATGGTGCGGATAGCAAACGACCGCAATGTCGACCAGCTTCTAGCCGAATTGAAGGAGTATGCTCTGGAGGTTGATATGGACTTTGTGCGCCGTGCTGTAAGAGCGATTGGCCAGGTTGCTATCAAGATTGAAACCGCCAGCGAGAAATGCGTCAACACTCTCTTGGATCTGATCAACACCAAGGTGAACTATGTTGTCCAGGAGGCTATCGTCGTTATCAAAGATATCTTCCGGAAGTACCCTGGTTATGAAGGGATCATCCCTACTTTATGTCAGTGCATTGATGAGCTGGATGAGCCGAACGCCCGAGCCGCATTGATTTGGATTGTGGGCGAGTACGCCGAAAAGATCAGTAACGCGGGTGATATTCTTGGTGGGTTCGTCGATGGATTTAATGAGGAATTTTCTCAGGTATGCATTTTTCCTGCCCACAAAGCCAAGCCACTGAAACTGATATGCACCAGACTCAATTGCAAATTCTTACTGCCGTTGTGAAACTCTTCCTGAAGAGGCCCGATAAGGCCCAAGGCCTGGTCCAACGGGTTCTTCAGGCGGCTACTGCTGAGAATGACAACCCGGACGTTCGCGACCGAGCCTACATTTACTGGCGTCTCCTGTCCAACACCAGCGACCAGGATGCCACCAAGAGCATTGTCCTATCCGATAAGCCCCCCATTGTCACCACCATCTCCTCCCTTCCGCCAGCCCTATTGGACCGGCTTCTCCAAGAGCTGTCCACTCTATCCTCCGTTTACCACAAGCCTCCAGAGCAATTCGTCGGACAGGGCCGATTCGGCGCCGACGCTGTTCAGCGAGCTGCCATCGAGTACGTT